AAACTGGACACCCTAAAACAGAGCATCCATTGAATATATCAGATATCTCTTCACGGTCATTAGATATGATCTCGGTGTTGCAATTACATGAATGAGTGATTGACTTTAGAAGTCAATAAACTTCTAAAAAAATTATTTCCCAGAACTCACTGTTCTGTAATATTCCCCTTCGGTCCTTGGAGTAACCATTTTGGGATGTGAGCATTATTCCAGTTTTGGGGTACTGGACCTTGGTGTTCTAACCACATGAATGCCCAGGTCTAGTTCCCTGTTGAATAATGTATAAAATGGCTTAGTTCAGCATTGGATCCTTACTTCCATCACCATGATGCATTTCAACTATATAATCCTCGCTTTTGGACTGCTCATTTTTGCCTTTCGGGATGCTGTTTCTCAAGGTAGGTAGATAAGATCTTCTTTTCTCTACACCACTACATACAATCTCCTTGCAACCGCCCCTTTCTCTTCCAAGCCATGAGTAAGAACAGACTTGCTGGAGGAGCTCCCAGAATAGTATATTGCCTTTAGGAAGCCCTAAACAGAATAAAAGTCTCTTTTCTGCAATATTTCACTCACCTCTATAGCAATAGTACTTAGCACTTATATAACCACTCCACAATACTTTAGCAGCATTCTCTGAACTCTTTACAGAGTCATCAATTTGCCCCCAACAATATATGTCCTCATTTTACCAACCTCAGAAGGATGGAAATCTGAGTAAAGGTAGAGTTCAGTCAACACCATCCTTCTTAGTTCAGTGGTAACCATTATGGAATGTGAGCATTTTAAGGAGTTGGAGACCCTGATATAGTATAAAAAGACACAACTAAAATCTTTCTTGCATTCCTTGTATAAGCTTTCCTATGAAAAAAACATTATTCCAAAAACTACAGCTACTGTTTTTGTACATTGACGAGGAGCAACAGATGCAGAGCAATGTATTTGGGCAGTGCAATATAAACAACATATAAATATTCCCACCCTAAGCAGACATAACAAAGATTTAAGTCTGGGTGAAGAAAGGTACACGTGAAATCTTTGGAAGAGGCCAATCCCACTCCCAAATTCCAGGTGTCCCTCCCCTCAGTGTTGAATGTCCAGCTCCAGAAGAGGCTTTTACTTCAGTCCTTAACCTTCAAGCAAATAGCGGGAAAGCTCTCCCTAACCATTTTCTCAGTCCACCTCAAAAGGCTGGAATCACAACAATTGGGGGGGGGGCTGGTAGCTCTTCCTCGGGGTGCAGGAGCTTGCATTGTCCAGGGTGCACCTCAGTTGCTTGAAGGGCTTCCAAAGGCAATTGGCAAAGGCTCAAAATGCAGTGTTCTCACTATGGTTGGGAAGGCAATGTATTTTCACTTCCTCTGGAGTTTCGGGAGGAATTGTCTTTATCTCCTTTTCGAATAGATTCTGAAATATTTGGAGTCATGCAAATAACTTCAGGGATTCCTTAAGATGGACAATCTTTCTTATTTTGTTCTTTTCAGTTTCCCCTGAACCTCCAGAGATATGTAATCTTCCCCGAAAAATAGGAAGGTGCAAAGTTGCATTCCTTCGTTTTTATTTCAACAAAGCAACTGGGAAGTGTAAGCGATTCTTTTATGGTGGATGTGGAGGAAATAAAAACAACTTCTACAGTATGGCTCAATGCAGAGCTACATGTCAACGTTCTGGTAAGGAAGAAATTTTAGTCTTTGCCTCGGCACACCATTAAAAGAAATGGCATTGTAGTCTTGTCCTTCAATCAATGGTCTAAAAAGTGTTTGGTCGTAAAGTTAATTTAATCTCAGTTCAGCATTCTAGGCCCTGGACTAGTGAGGAGTTTATCAATGGGCGCAATCAGGAAATCTTTTAAAATAGTAAAAATACAAAAAGATATTTCATAAAGAAGTGCCATAAAGGTAGCTTTCTTGTTTTTACTGTTTTTCTTGCAAAGAGTTGTGTGAGTATTTATAAAGGGGATCACCTTAGAATTGAGTACAATACGGTAGAATCAAAGGAAATTATATATTCCTCACAGGAAATTTTGGACCTGTAACACATGTAATGCCTGGAGATGCTTTTGTTTGTCCAGACAGC